TTCTTTGTGAACCACACGTGTCACGAGAGTTTCTCTGTCGAACGGGGCAAACCTCACAGAGAGGAGTAGTGATTTCATTTAAGAAGCTAATAGTCAATAAGATGTTTTCAACTGTGGTTTTGGAGAACTGAAGAAAGGAGGGAACTACGTCAGCAAGAAGATGAATATTACATTGAATATGGATTTTGCCAATATACTTCAAAATAATAATACAGAAAAGGTTTAGATTAAATAAAAAATTTATCACAGAAATTTCAGTACAACTTCCTACAGTGACTTCCTCCCTGTCCCATTGCTAACCTGCTCAGCTGTGCTCCTTCTACTGCTGCCTCAATCAACCGATGACGGAGGGTCAGAAGTTCAAGGAGCCTTGAGAAGACATTCAGAGTAATAGCCTGTTTTTCTTTGCTCAGTCTCTGTTCTTCTTCTGCTATTGATTTCAGGGCTGATGTAACAATTTCTCTTACAATAAGAGGATCCTCAACCAGAACATCTGCAAATATCTACCATGAAAGCATACTACTTATAAATATATAATTCAAATAATGTTACTTGATTGTTCTATTGATGTTATGATTGATATTTTATTGTTCAAGTTGTTATTTTGTACCATGGAAATATTTAATTGAAAGGTAGGTTATCATTTTCTAAATAAATAAAAAATATTAATATATAAGCTATGTTTTTTTCTCCTCTCCATTTTTTTTTTTTTTTTACTATTTCAAATGCAGGAAAAACAACTTTGCATCATTCGTGATGAAACTGAAGGCTATAGAATGGAACATTTGTGTAAAAATATTAGTTTTGGAAATATTTCTAAGCATCTCATGGTAATACTTCTCATAACAGAAGATCTATTTAATTCAGTTACTTTTTAAAATTATATCTCCCTTTCATACCTCAAAGCCATTCAAAGTGCTTTTCATCAAAAACAAATAGTTTAAAGCAAATAATAATAATGAAAACAAAAGAGAAAAAAAGACTGCAGATAACCCAAAAATAAATAGCGTTCAGGGAATCACAGGAAGAAGCAAATCCAAGTCAAACAGCTAGGAGCCAGATGCCCATTGGCACAAAGATGTCCTGCTTTGAATAGATGTGGATCAGGAAAAGAGCAAAATGGATCCCTGAAATGCCCAGATGAGAATCCAACCAAACTTCATGTGGCAGAAGAGGAGATGGAACAAGAACCTTCCGATAATCTGACAGCAGGCAAAGATGAATATGGGAGGAGATGCTCCTTTTTTTCTTTTAAGCATAAACAGCAAGTAGCTTCTCTTAAAGCACAAATAATACCACTTGCCCAGCTCACAAAGAGAAGTAGTTTTGTTTTATTTTATTTATTTATTTATATTTCAAATTTGTCACTGCCCATCTCACTACAGAACAACTCTTGTATCAATGAAGCACTGAAGTTAAATTCACACAATTTTGTATCAAGATACCAGTCCTCCCTTATTTAATTATAATTACTTTAATTATGTAAAATCTGTAACAAGGTTACAGAAATTTTGAATGATCTGTATTAAACCAATTCTACATATCTGTTTAATGGGATTAGGATATTGTAGCAGCAAAAACCCACCCAAATCCTTGTACTTAGAATATAAACATACATCTCTCTGAATTTGAGCACCATAAAAAGATTCTGGATTTTCCATGGTCATCCATCCATCCAACGAAAGTTGAAGTATATGTTCCTCCAAATGAATGGCCTCACTGGCTGTGTTTGGCCTACAGATTTGTTGGAACTCCTGAAGGATATGATCTAGAGCTTTAGGAATTAAAGATACCAGGCCAAGGGAGGAATGGAATTCCAATAAATACATATTCTTCAGAGCTGTACTTTAAGGAAAAAAGAAGAGTTAAAAGTGTTATGATAGAATAGGATTATTATAGGAAAAAAGAACTCTCTTTTTAAGGTTAACTGGAGTAGTTTTCAGGTGATATTCCAGTCAAGGTGAAGATAAAGGAAATAAACAAAGCAACTCAAAGAACTAAATAAAGCCTCATACTAACGCAGGGGTGCACACAGTGATGGTCACTAGCCTCAAAATAGCAGCTTCAGAGCAGGTGATCAAAGCCCTATGCCTTTTTAATAAGTATCTCACACATTTGTGTGCAAATGAGTTTGAACCAGTGGAATATTCCAACTGCCTGTGAGTTAAAATAAAAGAGAGGAAATTCCACTGGTTCCTCTGCAGGTTCTGTTTTCCATTTATTTAGCAAAACTGCGGGAGGGCAGAGGGAACCCATGCCTAGGGATACTGATTTAGACTGAAATCCCCACCGTCCTGGAAATAGAAATTAATAAGCAAGGAAGGTCACAATATAGTAGGGAAAAATCAAGACAACTTCTCTATTTGTATTTGAAACTCACTACAGTAGCAGTGCGGGTGATGCGATCTGTTTACTTACTTAATGTGTTTATATACTGCCAGATTCATCAAAAATGACTCCCAGTGATTTACAACGTAAAAATAGAGTGTTGTTGTGGGGAAAATAGGAGGAGGAAGGAGTATTAGGTATGTTCGCCGCCTTGAGTTATTTATAAAAATAATAAAGGCGGGATAAAAAATCTAAAAAAAACCCATACTGTAAAAGCTATTAAAAACTGTGATTACAACTATATTAAACTAATCACAGTTTTGTTTGTGTTCATGTATTTTTGTTGCATAATTTTTTTCTTTCCTTATATATGGCAAATTGTTCATTTTTATTTCATTTTGCATTATTTTAGGTTTGTTTGAAAATGGACTAATAAAAATTACCCTTTCCCCCCCAGAAAACAATAAAAACATAAACCACCATAAAATGGCAAGTATAATGGTGACCACTCGTTCCCCAAAGGAATGAGAAGGCTGGTTGTGAAATTGATTAGAAAACAGGCCTATTTTATGGCTCAATGTGCATTCTTATTTATCCATATATAAAGTTAGCTGCAATCCTTGAGCCCAATGCCCTATACACACCCACACACACAAGAATGGTGAAATGATAGTTTAGCGCAATTTTTTAAAAACACATTTATGTATTTATTTATACTGTAAATACACAATTGAAAAGATGGCTTTCTCAAGTCCATCCTTTGAGAAAGCAGAACAATAGAGTTGAGAAAGGAAAGAGTAGAACATTAGTGCTTCAAATGGAAGGGAGGAATCAACATTGCCAATTTGACCATACAGCAGATACACAACTAAAAAAGTCACAGATTCCCTGTTTTGCTTGTAGTTATGGCTTTTAAGGTTTAGGAGCCTTCCATACTGAAGGATTCCTATAAGATGCTCTTGAGTCCAAGTACAGTGACATGATCCTGACTTTTTAAAATTAAATCAACATCACAGATTTTTTAAATAAACATTTTCCATGGAATAATGAAATATTAAAAATCACAATTGTTTGCATGTATATTATTAATTTAGAAATGTCCACACGCACATATATGCATGCTGAACACAAAATTAATGCCTTATTCTTACTACTAGAAGAAAAGTATGAGAAATGACCATTTGCAGGTGGAAGAATAGCATAACAAAAGCTATTTTGCCATATGGGTTGGCTGGTTGATCTGTTTAAATAAGAATTGCTTGAACCCAGGGGAATAAGCAATGGGATTTGCTTGTGTGACATTTTGCTTAAATAAGAATCGCAAACATGGCTCCATTATAGATGTACTGTATGTGTCATATTATATAAAGAGACAAATGATACTCACGGGCTGTTACTGAGAGCAATTAATTGTTTTGTAACTACATATGAGGGAAAACCAAATTCAGAGATACAACCTTTGGGACCATCACGCCAAATCTTATAGTTATATTTACGCTGATTCTCTATCTGGAAAAAAAAAAAATCAAAGAAAAAAAATTCTTGTTAAGTTATATAAAATACAGCGATTTTTGATTTTTAAAAAAGATACCGTTACTCTGTATCAAGACTTCAGTGGGTGAGGAAGCCTGATATAAGCAATTAAAGTGACATGACTATGTAAGCTGAATTTGCTAGACTGACCAGCTTCCATCAATCCCCTCCTCCCATCCCCATCTCCAATGCTTTGCAGAAACATTACATAAGCAGTGAACAGATATTAACATCTGTATTTGTATACAGGCATCCAGCATGCAGCACGGTACATCACTAGTTCAAATAGTAAAAATTGAATGTCATGCATTTAATGGAAAAGATAAATAATTAGATCCAAAGCTATCTGGGCTACTCTTGAGTTTGACTGCGTATAGTGTCAACTTACCTGTCGGTTCATGATATCTCTCACCAAGTAGAGGTGAAGCTTAAGGCAAGCGCATTCATCTCTATAGGTGTTCACAAAATACCCAAGGTGGAAATCAAATCGAGGACGCCTGTACGTGATATCAGTTATTACTTGGGCCAATGCAAATCTTTCTTCTGAATCTAAAGCATGCTGGTATGCTTCAAAATAACTATCGAGAAGCTGAAAATATATTTAAGCCATAGCCAAAAAAAATAAAGAAATGTTTATTTTTCCTTCAATTTGTTTTAGTTTGCTTTGCATTGCTTTCATATGCTAAGAACAGAAATCTTTCAATGCTTCAGTTTCTGCCACAGGTAAATTTCTGCTTGAGATTCTCTGGTCCACCTATCATATTTTTAGTGTCTTGCTACATCACACCAGTTTTCCAAAAATCAAATAAATATGTTCAGAACAACAATCCAGGTAGCTCAATTAAATCAGATGGCTTGGCAGAGTGAGGTAACTGCCTCAGGTGCAGGTGCTGAGGGCATAAATAAAGTCCTTGTTTGATGCCACTCAGCCTCCCGTGCACCCCGTAAACTAGACTGCTGCCCACAATAGCAGTGGAAGGGGTTGTAATTTCACCAGAGTCAAGCAAAAAAATAAATCCCAGCCAGCTTCTGTATCAGAATGGACTTTTGGGGGTCATCACTTTGTCCTTTGCTTCAGGCAGCAACATTTATTAGGCCAGACCAAGTGGTGAGGGGACTACATACAGTACTGTATAATTCTGTAATTCGGGGGAAAATGGGACATCTGCTACTTCCCCCCACCCCTTTGTTTTGTATGATGTGGATGAAGTGACACACGAATGCACCCCATCAGGTTAAAACATGAAAAGAACAGAAGCAAAATAAATGCCTCTATTTCTAGATGTAAGCACAGCATGAAACATCTTTAGCAAGATTTTCTTTTTCTAGATAGGCAAGCAGGTAATAAGTCAACCAAGGCTATAACAAACACTCCTAGTAATTGATGTCACCTCTACAGAAAGAGGGCTCTAAAGCTCCAAACAACACTTGGTCTTTCAAGGACAGCGCAACCCATTCCATCATGTATCACAAACTTCTATTTAGATCAGTGGAACAAATTTAAGTCAGAGAAAGTATAGACAGCTATAGGCTATGCTGAGGGCTTTTTATGATTCTCCAGCTGCTGTGAGCTGCCCAGAGTCATGTACTTGAGATGGGCAGCCATATAAATCAATTTAATAAATCAATTTGCAAATATGGATGATGTGCGCAGCCCAACACACAATCAGCTGTCCATAGAGGCTCCGTCAGCCCCACTAGGTAGACTAAACCAAGAAATCAACTCCACAGCAAAGCTGAATTGAGATTGGCTCTGATAACAGAATCTTGCAAATCTGATTGTGCTGTACCTCCTCCCCCTTCTTATAGTTCAGCTAATTAGTAATCAAAATTGTCTGAGTCACTTCCAAATATTATCCGTCTGTTATAGACTTAAAACATGTTTCATCCCCGTCACCCTGGCATATCTCCATCTAGGTCATCTTCCTTACTCTCTACAGGTTTTGAGGTCCTTGATTTCTTAGTAGATCAACAGAATGTGAATATGTATACCTGCCACTTATTTTTTAAGAAATCTGCTTCACAAGTCCAAAGGTCAAGCAAGACTGCAGATCGATCCACTGATGTCTGTGCCCACCTTGAGTAGCTGTTGCTAGAGGAATCAGGGCCTGCTTTCTGGCCTCCGAAAGAAAAGGATAACACAACAGACTTCATCACAGCAACAATAAATTTAAGCAATCACAAACATTTGCAGTTAATGATGCCCAAGTAAAGTATAAGCATGCTTAATTTCCTCCAAGTTACCAAGATTTTCTTGCTTCACAGAACTGAACTGAAAATTAACAATCTAGATACACTTAATGATTTCAGAAGTCACCAAAGTCAGTTCATTGTCACAGAAGCGATTAGCAGTTTGACAAATTGTGACTTCATATCTGCCTCTCCTGGATTAATTATATAATTATTTCTAAAATCATTTCTAAAATGGGCTCACTGGATAAGAACCTTCTTTTCTCTAGCAGACCCACCTGGATTCTTTCTCTTTCCCAGAATGCTTTTAGGTTCCACATGGTATTTTTAGGAAAGAATAGAAGATGGTGGGGTGAATCAAAGACGACGATCCACTTTTTAGTGTATTAGCCTGCTTTTAAAATCTGCACTTAAAAAAAATAATAAAGGCAGGGACAATGAACCAAAGGGACCTTGCCATTACTTATTGAGCATATGCTTCCCATCTACATGTTTGCCTTTAGTTATGTGTATCCTTTACCTATATTCTTAGTGGGGTAGAGGGTGGGGTATGATATGCATCATTTGTTGTCTTGCAAAATAGGCATTTATTGTACTTTGTAGAAGAAAACATGGTTTGGCATGTAGAATTCAAGCCCAGCCTCTGTCTTGCAATTTGGCTTTTGGGGAAAGTTGCTTATCTTCTGTGATTTGTTATATAGAGCTGTCATTATGAGGTAGTGTGCCTGACAATTTCTCACATTCCTAACTGTGCTTAAAAGATTGAGAATCCTTGAGAAATTATACATAAGTGCCATGGTATTATAGAGTTAAAGTTGCTTTTGGATGTCCACACTGATTGCAGGACGCTTCACAGCCTTATGAAAACAGATTGGAATTCTGCTACATTGGGCAGTCTCATTCACTTTTCAAGGTTTCTACCCGAGGATAGAAAATGAACTCCTATAGCTTCACAAAGCCTGATTGTACTGTGACAATAGGCTCTCTGATATAAGAGTCTGACATTATTTGTTAATTTGACTCATTTGTTAATTCAATTTGTACAGGCACCCACTCAGCTAACATCCAGTTAAAAACATCAACAGAATAACTTAACAAAAATTAAAACACACTATGCCAAAGTCAGCTTATATATCCACAGCAAGTATATCCCTTAAAATGGGCCCATCTAACTTTCTGGCCCAAGGCCTGGGGAGAAAAACAGTCTTCAACACCTTATAAAAGGCTGGCCAGGTCGGGGCCTTCTGAATCTCAGGTGGGAGGCTGTTCCACAGGGCAGGCACAGCAACAAAGAAGGCAAGCCTCCTGAGCCCCATCAGAGGACACTGTTTAATAGAAGAGACCTGGAGCAAGCCACCCTCTTAGATCTTCTGAGATAGGCAGAAATAATTGAGATAGTCCTGCAAATATTCCTGTGCCATGAAGGGCTTTGTAGATGATAACCACTCCCTTGTATTTTATCTGGATGTCTACTGGGAGTCGCTGCAGCCTGTGGAGTAGTGGTGTTACATGGGCATACTAAAGTGCACCTATAATTATCCAGTTGCTGCATTCTGGATCAACTGTATCTTCTGAGTGGTCTTCAAGGTTAGCCCTATATAGAGTGCATTGCAATAATCCAAATAAGGCGACCAAAGTGTGAGTGATCATGAGCAGGACTTCCCTTGATCTGCTCTTTGAGCAGGAGCCAGGAGTCTAAAAGACCCCCACGTTGTGTGCTGGTTCCTTGGGCAGGGGGAGTGCTACCCCATCCAGAACAAACAATTAAAGTTCCTCAGATCCAGACAGTCCTAAATCCCACAACCACTCAGTCTTGCTAGGGTTGAGCCTATTCCTCCTCATTCAGACTCCCACAGCCCCCAGACACTGAGAAAAAATCTTGGCGGCTTCACTTGGTCTGTCCAAGGTAGAAGTGTACTGTGAACTGTCTTTTTCTATTGTGGCACTAGCATCTTTGCTCCTAACCTTCAGGAAGACTGTTGTTGTTCAGAAGGACTTAGAGAGTTAAGAAATATTTATTGAGATACATAATAGTTATTGCTGGATTATGATCAACATTTTAATCCTGATTGGTGTTTGTGCATCATGTAGTTAAGGAATCGTTTTGCTTTGTTTTTAATTATTTAATTGTTTTTAATTATACACTGCCACAATTCCTTGTCAGAATGTGGCAGTATAAAAATATAGCAATGAATAAATATTCTTCTTGTAGGAAGCAGGCTGAAGGGACAGCCTGGGAGTCTTCCAATCAAAAAAAGCAAAGGAGAGAAAAAGAGAGGAGGAAGAGTGAGAGGAAGGTTCTCTCTAACATAAATATTGACCCCCAGTAACCAGTAGGGTTAAAATTTCAAATAATCAATGCCCTGAGGCAACACGTCCAACAATTACTTCCAGACAACTCTCTTTGATTCTATTATCTGTTTGGTGTCTCTGTTTTGGGGATGATTGCTTTTCGTAGAACAAAAAGATTCTGTCACTCAACCATTGGTAGTATCAGAGATATTTCAAGGCCAAGATTGCAAAGTCGCCTTACCCTTCTCCATCTCAATGTACTGGCTTGCCACAAGCAAAAGTTGCTTTTCTATCTCTTTCAGGTCTTGGAGGGCAACATCATACATTACAAAAGCCCCTCTTTGATCCTGCGTATGAATATATGCCTCTTCAACAGTATAAAAATCATCATGATTTTCCACCTCTGCAAACTCCATAAACTGCACACTGTGGACCTGTGGAGCCATAGATTTTGAAAAGAAAACATTACAGCTGACCACTAAATCCATTACCTAATAGTTGTGCAGATAGAGGTTTTCATCCATTTCCTTTCTACTGTGACCTCCTCCTATCCACAGTCCATTATCCCTTAAATTTAAGGAACCTCATAGTCCATTAAGAAAGAAGTGAAAACTGATATCCATTCACCCAGGTTGTAGCTAGAAGAGACAAACTGATATCCATTCACTCAGGTGTATACTGAAATACTTTGAAGCTCTGATTAGTTTTTTTCACTGCCTCTCTAGCAAGAGCTGAGCTCCCACCTCACATAGCATGTGGCTTGTTTGAACTGAACTTAACGCAATGTGTGCTATTATGGTTTGTAAACCACGATTTATGCCTTAGCACTATGTATGAGCCAGGCCACTAAATCTTGTTCAACAAAACATGATTATGGTTTTGTGTGATGTGTGAACTGAGCTTTAGAATACTTGATGATATTTGGCTGATCAGAACACTTAGGTTTGCAGAATTAAGCACATTAGTAAGCCTTCCTCAGATAAGCTTAGAGTTGCATGGCTAATAGTCCAGCAATATGACATGGGGCAGGGACATTTCGGTGAACAGCAAGGCATGTTTTTTTTTTTTCTCCATGACCTGCTTTACTGTTTCTATTTTTGAACTTGCACACTGACAGATAAGAAGTTACAGCTTTGGGTCAGAAATAAAACACCTAGTGCAATCCTACATAATTTAGATGGCCTTGGACTTGAAGTTTAGTCTTTATCAGTTTGGTCAAACATTGTTATGACTAGATTGCAGCCCATTTCCTCTTGAAAACATATTGGGAATTTCCCTAAAGACAATATACAGTGTTTCCTGGGCCTAATGCTTTATTGTTAAAGATTTATGACTATGACAATATTCTGTGATATAACCAAAGCCTCACCTTATAGTCAGCTGGAGTATAATGCATGTAAGGGTGGGAGCCAAGACCCCCAAAGGCACCAGTGCCTCCTTTGGCTGCATTCACCCAGCTGGCGTCTTCTGCAGTGGAAATCAGATTGCCAGTGCGCAAGGCAAGACCAGAGGTGCTGATGGTTAGAGTTCTTTCAATGGATCGGAAATAGTTGAGTATTCCCAAGCAAATTCTCTGGTATAAATATTATTGGAATTAGATAATGATGACTATGATGCTAACAATACCAACCAGCAAAAATACACAGCCTCATGCTTTTATACTGCCTTATTTACAAGTTTTGAAGGTTTTGTTACCTGTAATTCTCTGATTCTCAAGTGACGTAAATAAAGGAGAGACAAATATCCACCTTTTCTCATGGCAAGATCTTTGCTGGGAGCTTCCATGTCCTCATCTAAACCCAGCAGCTGTGAGGCAGTCGATTTGCTATATTTTTTTTTCAAGAAAGAGAAATTAAATCATATTACTGTAGCTCAGACAGATTTTCTGTTATATCTAAATTAAATGATCTCTTTATATTTCCTTCCTAGAAGCAAATTTCCTACTGAATTCACTTATATAGATGCCTTTGTACCAGAATAATAATAAGAATTGATGGATTCTGATGCAATCACATTAAGATAAGAAGAACTTATGAAAATCCATATAAATGCCATCATCATTCATGCCTGGGGAAAGTTTGCTGTATCTGAAAATGCCAGCTAGAGTTTAGAAGTCCAGAAATGGCACTTTTAGCTTTTATAATATCTACAGTATATGATATGAAAGGTTTCTACTGACACATCTCCCACCCCATTCTTTCCTAGATAATATCCTTAATCATCCTCCCTTCCATCCCTCTGCCTGGCAAGCACTTGAATCTTTAATGCTGCTGAAGAACTAATTGTGGACTGGGGTGAACAAAGAGATTCAAGAATGAATGACTGACAAAATAGAAACTGTATATGCATTTTTACCAGAAACAAAGATGGAATCTCTGGATTATCAAAGGAAAAGAGAATTTTCAAAGTGAACAAATCTACCTAAATGCTGTACTCATACATCTATCAAGTACAAAATGAGAAATAGTCAGCAAAAGAAAAGTAGATACAAGCTCAGCTGGAAGCATCCCCTGAGGGAAGAAGCTGGAATCCCATTATTATCTACAGCATGGAATTCAGTGGGGGATTTCAGTGCCTATGGCAGGCTCATTTGCAGGCTCATTTGCAGGAGCAATGCAGATAGGACAGAAAATTGGACCAGGAACATGTGGAAGAGACATATTTATTGGTGACTGCCTTTAGATTATCAGCCTGAATACAGGGTCAGCTATTAAATGAAAGACAAAGATGAATGGGAAAGACTGTTAGATAGCCCAGGTACAACTGCCTGATTATATTTGCAGATAAATCACTTGTGTAGCGAAACTGTAAAATAACTTAGGCTTATTATGTGGTGCCATTTCAAAAAAGATGCTTTGGAAAATGCAGGGGCATGAATAGAGCACTTACCCATAACTCTTAAAAACAGCCATGTATTTTCTCAAGATCAAGTAGCAGCTTTAGAGAGCAACTGTACAGTGACAGGTCAACTTGCAGCTATTTTAAATGGCAGCATAAAAATGCTATGTTCATGCCCCAACACACTCTAAGCCACCTTTTCCAACTTGTTTTAGAACTACTGCACAGCTCTACTATATATTCATTATAGAAATGTCTAATGGAATAGGGGAAAACACAACACTTCTAGATTAATAAGCAATGCATTATACATATTAATCACTCTCTCTTGCTGTATATATTATGCGTGCATAATCTGTGTGTGTGTGTGTGTGTGTAATCTCAACACAAACAGAATAAGCAATAGCTTTACCTTCCATCTTTCTTCATCCCTGAAAAAGCAGAACCCTTTTTAAAGTTGACACTTTCCATGCTTTTCTCATTCATTGTCATGATAAGATTGCTATTGTTGTCATTTGTTTGCTGCCCCTGCTATATTTAAGATTAAATGTCATGGTCACATTTATACACACACTTTTACTTTTCAGCATTACGTAAATCTAAAATTATGAACAGGGGATCTGTAAATCATTTCCCTCAATCTTCTGTTTACACAACATATGGCTTATCATGGTGACAACAGCCAAAATACTTTTTTTTTTCATTAGCTGCCTAGGAAGAATTGCAAGATAAGAATCTCTGTTAAACTGTTCTGTAACATGGTCAGGTCACATTTTTCATTCTGCCCATTTTCTGATTTAACTCAGGGGAATTTCAAGAACTAGTTTTCAGTTTGAATACCTGGGTACTGATGTACATGTAAAGCAATGAATTTGCAAATTGATTTATTTGTAGTTGCAGCATTGATGTGATCACATGAGAGCATCAGGATTCCTCCTTTAACTGTAATTTAATCAATGTATACATATGCTATCATGAACTGGTTAACTAGTATGGGAAGAAAGGCATAAAGTGAATATTGCAAAAAAGCACAGATTCACAATAGCTGGATCAAAGTCCAGAAATTAAAGAAGAAAAAAATGAAAGAAAGATCGAGGTTCCCAGGATCCAGACTCCAAGCACCTGCTTGGAATATATTCTAACAGGCAGTAGACTAGTTGGCAGAATTTAGGACTTAATACTTTATATCTCTTCTCCTGTGCTAATCCTGTTGGAGGTGAATAGAATCGGCTATACTAAGATTGAGATGTGTTGAAAATTCACACAGATCACATCTGTAGGCTTCTTGGTGCCTTTTTTGCTACCACACTTTGGAAACTTGCCATACATATATCATAGAAGATAGCTTCAGTTAAATAACTAACTCTGGTATTGACTGAGTAATAATTTTATTGTCATGACTCATGCTATTATGCAACTGTTCAATTTTAGAATTGATCTTTATCTTTCATTACTTCAGGCAATAATGGATTGAAATGCCAGACATCATAAGATAGGCCAGGGCAACAGTTCCATACGTGTAATTAAATAGGAATTAATCTACAACATAACTTTGGACCTTCAGCCATCAGGCCCTCACTTAAAATTTAGAAAATATTACAAAATATATATAATGCTAGTAGAGAGATGCCTAGATTAATTTCAGTTTCTTCTTCCCCTTTATATTACCTGATAGAGTTCTGGATTGCGATAAAGCTTTTCCCAGATTTGATTGTAATGTTTTGAATGGAAAGAACTCGTAAAGGAAGAGGTCATTGGTGTTGGCTCTAGCATTGTTACCGCTTGCTCCTGGAGAGCCTCCATCACGTACTCCAGATTGGAAGCCTAGTTTGTCACAATCACATACTTTAATTTAGCCAAACAAATTGTACAGTCCAAATAACAAAGATCTTGAGGCTAGTCAGAGTTTGGTTGGTTTCTTTCTAACAGTGACTACTGTAAAACATTTTCCTCATAATTTTCCAGCTCTCCTAGCAGAACACATGCTTGCAAGTAAAATATCTCTAGTTAGGAAAATGGAAAGAATGGTATCCATAAAAACTACAGTGTGGTAACTGCAAATATATAATATTTAATATTACATTTATTATATTTATATGTAATAACTTATTATTACATTATTATAGGTAATAACATTTATAATAATTACAAATTATACAATATTATAATTTATAATGTTTAGTATGTAATAACCTTCAAATATTTCCTTGGGACAGAAATGAAGAGGCTTTTTTCTGGGAGTTGGGAATAATGTTAGATATTACATGGAGAGTAGGGCCAAGGTCTGCAATGTATGTCACCAGGACAGAAAGTGAAGGGGAATTTCTCTTTTTATTCTTTTTCTACCATTCTCTTCTCTTTTTCTTTTTACACCCCCTTCTTTTCCACCCTCCTCCACTTTTTCCACACTTAGCAAACTATCTCAGGTGGGAAAGTGGACATGTCCCTTCCCTGATTGCACCCAGAACCTTTTAGAACGAAACTGAGAGGCGCTCACTGTTCACCAGTTTCATGTATTAACAATATTGTTTTGAGAGCTGCAGGTCAAAATGAATATTGATAATATCACTGAACAGAGAGATGGAATCCACAGGAAACAGCTCCAGCCAAGTGGGATCCAGTATAAGTTTACTGAAATCATTGAGGTATGATAAACATCAGTCATCATCTATCTGTATCCATGGGAGTTAAATTCAGCTAACAGATTGGTTGTAACTCAAACCTAAAGTTTCAGGAATGACAAAATAGCTTGAAAATTCAGGAGAACTGTATTGCAGGAAATCTGCAATTTGGCTAGAAAATGTGGAAAGGAAGTTCCATGGTTTCCAGAGCAAGCAAGTTTTTCCCCCTGGTCAGTGATTTTACATATTGTTTTAATATCCTGAAGCTTCTGAAATGGTTTTGATTAAGTGAAAGTATAATAAATAATATTACCCTGCATATCACAACAAAGCTGAGACGTGTAAAGGAGAAACTAGATACTGTATGTCATTAATATTCCAAGACATTTCACACACACACCCCCGTTAAAAAAGGTTTAGTTTACCTCTAACGTTTTTGATTGAATCTGCAGCTGTTCATCTACCTTTTTCCACTGTTTCAGTTTCATTAGTAGTTTTTGTTGCCATGGATCTTGTTGAGGCTTAATCTGCCAGCAAGATATTCAAAGATATCATATTCAATTCAATTCAAAGATAGATATTCAAAGTAATTTGGCATATGCAGCAAATTTATTTTACAGTACTAATCCAGTAGTTGGTGAAGATTAGCAATTTTGTATGCGTGAAGAAGAATGGTGTGCAGTGAATAACTTAATGTGTGATCTGCCCATCTGTCTGCTCCACAATATGATAACTCTACCTTCAAAGAGCAACCCTAATTACTTATATGTGAAGCGCCTTCTAAGTTTACTATGTAGAAGCATAGTATAAAAGGTGATGGTCTTGTATGGTTTTCCACATAAAAGTATATACATAATCTGTGTTCCTAAATATATTTAAGTTCAGTTTCACTCAGGATGATTATATAGAGGCTAGGTATTGAGAATTTGGGAAAGCAGAAGTTCAAATAGCTGTTTGTATAGCTTGAAAAGACCATTCAACAAGACTTCAAATTTAGTTGCTTTTACCTTTATAAAAGAGGTCCAATTTGCTCTCTTTTTCAAAGTCACGTTGGAGCTCACCATACCCAATGTTTCTGATCCAGGGGTTCCAGCATCATAAACAGGAAATGTTCTCATTGTTTGTTGTTTATTGAAAATGCTCCTAAATTTATGTTTGACCTGAGAATGTTGGGAAAATCATGCTGATTAAGCTACAAAAATCACACTGGTTTCCACTAAGTGCTCAATGCTGAATTAATGCTATATCGGTACTAGGAGAAGATCTGCTTTTTCAATACAGTAACGTTATAAATAATCAAGGGAAAGGGTGAGTTCACTAAAGCCTTATTTAATTAAAGCCAAATTTAATTTTATCTAACATTTGGAAAGAAGGAAGGAAGGAAGGAAGGAAGGAAGGAAGGAAGGAAGGAAGGAAGGAAGGAAGGAAGGAAGGA